AAGGGCAAGAATCAATAGTTAAGCAACTTTTGGATCTGAAAGATGTCGACCCCAACATGCCGGATAACAAAGGCAACACACCACTCTCCTGGGCTGCGATCGCAGGACACGAGTCAGTGGTTAAGCAACTTTTGGACCGGGAAGACGCCAACCCTAACAAGCTAGACAACAAGGGTCTTACACCCCTCCATTGGGCTGCGATCAAGGGGCACGAGTCCGTGGTTAAGCAACTCTTGGGCCTGAAAGATGTCAACCCCGACATGCCAGACAATGAGGGACATACACCCCTCTCCCGTGCTGCACTTTGTGGGCATAGGTCAGTTGTTCAGCATCTTTTGGACCGGGAAGACGTCAGCCCCAACAAGCTAGACAACAAGGGTCTTATACCCCTCCACTGGGCTGCGGTTAGGGACACGAGTCGGTGGTTAAGCAACTTTTGGACCTGGAAGACATCAACCCCGACATTCCGGATATGATAACAAAGGCAAGACACCACTCTGCTGGGCTGCGGTGAAAGGACATGAGTCAGTAGTCGAGCAACTTTTGGGCCGGAAGGATGTCAACCCGAACAAGCTAGACAACAAGGGTCTTACACCCCTCCACTGGGCTGCGGTCAGGGGACACGAGTCAGTGGTTAAGCAATTTTTGGACCTGGAGGACATCAACCCCGACATTCCGGATAACAAAGGCAAGACACCACTCTGCTGGGCTGCGATCAAAGGGCATGATTCAGTGGTTAAGCAACTTTTGGACCGGAAAGGCGTCAACCCCGACATGCCAGACAATGAGGGCCATACTCCCTCTCCCGTCCTGCCTTTAAAGGGCACGTGTCAGTGGTTAAGCAACTCTTGGACCGGGAAGACGTCAAACCCGACGTGCTAGACAACGAGGACAAGACTCCTCTTCACTAGGCTGCACTTTGTGAGCATAAATCTGTGGTTAAGCAGCTTTTCGACCGCAAAAAAACATCAATCCCGACATGCCAGACAAAAGTGGCCACACCCCGCTCACTTCTTACGCATGGACACAAAGGAGTGGTGAACCTACTCCAAACCTGGAAACCCCCAATCCCAGCTTGGCTTGATGTCCATGAGTTACAGGCTTCTTCACTCACCTCAAGCCTTTGACGGTAGCTATCCCCTATTCCCGTATTGCGCCCACAGCTGTGCTCCATACTATGGCTTTCAGACCCCCCCCCCTACGTCTTTCCCGGACCACTGCAGCATACTATACAGTCTTACCGCCCGCCCTCCCCCACTTACGCCTTCCTTTCCTTCCAGGTTAGTCATTGTCAATGAGCTCGCGAATTATAGCGGTTTGTCCGGCACGGCGGAGTACCAGGTACGCCGAGGGGACCAGAAAATACTTATCGCAAACACTAGCGATGTTTTGTAGCTTTACTTGACTTCGACTCTGCTGAAAATTTTTCCATAAATGGACTGCGTATTTCTGAGCTACGGGGAGGGGGTAGCTGAGTTTTCCACTAGGCCTAGGTTTAGCAAGTCGCCATTATACCCAGCTGTGAGGTAATGTTTAGGAGAGTGATCATCTGTGATAATTACCTGAGACCGCCAAGCGAAGGTTTGCAGGATCATGTGACAGCATAAATTTTGGTATGATAGCTTGAATTTACAAGTTGGATGCATGATGTACAAACCAGACGTCAGCTCCGCTGTGCCCATCCCAACTCGGCTCAAAGTGAAAGAAGAGCCCGGATGGGCGCAGTGCGAGGATTAGTATTGGGGCATAGTTAACTTATTTCCAATAAAATTGTAAACAATTGGGTCTGGGTTAGGATATCATACCGCGCGTACGGAGAGCCGGGTCATTAAGCCTGCCCACTCGAATTTTTCACTTCGTATAGTTCTTGGACGGAAGCCATCGTCGGCGCATCAAAGTATCATACCGGCAGCGAGGGAAACACACCAAAATGGTCCAAAAATCTGAAATCCGTGGTTACGGAAATCGCGATCCGCACCCACCACACCTCTCAATCAATCAATCAAAACGGAAAATAGATAGTTGAGGACCTAGAAGTTCCGAAATTCATATTTCCATAGCAAATTCGTTTGTTCCGTCGCCAGCTCCGGTCAATCTGCCCGAACCATCCCGAAACTGACTCTAGTGGTATCATAAGAATTCGTACGGGTATGATACTCAGGGGAAAAGATAGCTGTTCTGAAAATCGCAACAGGTCGGCCAATATTGCACCATACCCTTCAAAATTCAAACCTCACAAGCGGAATATCCGACATCACTATTCTACAAAGAATTGACTTATGTTCACAGCAGGTGGTAGAGTTCCTGCGGTGCGAAAAGCAGCATTTTTGTTTGCAAAAGTGGAAATTAACGATAACTTTGTCACCTCATTTGTAATATTGGCTGTGAACTTGCAGTACTCTACCGGTATCGTACCGTAATGATCGAAGTTTGTACTATGTCGTCGGGGTTGCCTTCTCTGGTAAGGTTGTGTTTTTTCTTTTACTTTTTAATACTTTTCAGGGGGACTGAGAAGGTCTCGCTTTGAAAAGTGTTTTTTACCCCTTTTCCAAAGTACAGTAGCGAATTCTGGACTTCATAGCACATGTTTTGATTATTCCAAAAGTTGCCCACCGCGGCACTAGGGCCTGCAGGAGGGAGGTTCCGAGAACTGCTGGTATGATGCCGGTACATACCGGCATCGGAGGGGTACGATAGTCCAGTCTTGGCATTGTTTGGGCCCGAAAGGGTATGAGTTGCGTACGGTGTGTGTGTGCCATGTCGTTTGAGTTGTCCCCTCTGATGAGTGAAGTCTGGTCTAATATTTTCTCGTTTTTCGAGGGAATCAACGCATCTTGCTGTATTTTTTTCTCCCCACTTCCAAAGGAGGCCAATTATTTTAACATTCCGCGCTTTTCGTGGTTGGATATGCGGGAACGCGCGGGGATGTCGTGAACCATAGCGAGGCAAGAAGTATCGCGCACGCGGAGGTGTCCTGGGCCATTGCATAGCAGGGCTATAGTGGAGTGTTCTCTGTTCAGGGACTATAAAGAGGGGGCTTTCTCCGCCCGTTTTGTATGGTTGGAGCGAGAATTGCTGCTATTCATGGTTCCCGTCTCGCCAACCCCACTATTACTACCTCTTACCCCAACTATAATCATCCTACCGTACCTACTCTTCCTTTCTGTCCCCCAATTTTATATTGAGATCACCTTGCTGAGCCAAATTTCTATCATTATTTCTACCGAGAAGGTTGTGCTGCTTTTCACTTGCCCATAGCCGACAGGGCGCGACCGCCTACTTGCGAGTACTTCGAGTGCATGTACTAGTACTGTACCGGTACCGTACCGATACTTATACGCGCCTTGGGATGCGGCTGAATAGAGGCATTCGACCGGAGGAAGCGATTCTGGAGCGAGTGATAATTTGCTGTCCGAGCCGCAAAGTTGGAGAAAGTAATGTTTACAAGGAGAAAGTGACCGGTCTGGTATCAATGAGGGGGTCGGCGAAATGGGGCTTTAATTAGAGGTTTAGCCACCGGCGCTGCACCGAGGTACGGTTCCCCTGTCATTTACGTAAAGAATACCACTCCAATTCATAGTGGACCGATTGTAGGCGAAATGGAGGTAGATTTAGGATCCTTCGAGAAGGAGTGCTTGCTCGCTGTTCTCTGATCGTGCCTTTCCTGGATTGCCTACAGGGCATGCGGTTGAGAGAATGCGGCTACGGAGCTTGGGAACATGAGGTGTGCAATAGTTAGGCACACAGTAGTGGAATATTGTTTTCACATCCTGCACTGGTAGACATGGGGTGTGAGTGTTGGTTCCGTTCCATAGCTACGATAATACATCTGGCATCAGGGGGTTGTTTTGTTCCACGGTACGGGTATACCACGCGGCATCGGGCATTGGCATGTTAGGGTTGGTCGTGGGGCTTGCGGGGTGGTGGTGGATTGTTTGTTTGGCTTCTTGGTTTTTTCCATAGAGTTTCTGCCATTTCCGAAAGTGTTCCGTTCATTCACTTTCGTTCCCTGAGCTTCTTTTGGCCTCAGGGCCGTTAACCGCCCAGGGAGATACGAATATATATCGCGTGCGCGTGCTCTGTCCTTAGCCGGCATCCCCATCGATGGGCTACAGTAGTTCATACACTCACGCTCAGCTACCGTGTGCTTGGCCCGCAACGATTTCACTCGCATTGCTTCACCTTTTAGTGCCTTCTGTAGCCTTCCCCACCCCTCTTTGCCCCTTTCCTCTAGCCCCGTGGGGATCGGAGACTCCATCGGACAGCTGGACCTTTGAGTCTGGCAGAGGCTGGTACGGTACTGCGGCAAAGGTGAGACGGGTACTGAGACTGTGAATGGGAGATGTTTGGGGGGTACCATGCCGGAATGATACCAGTATTAATTCTCGCGGGTAAAATTGTGCTCAGCATCGCAGGGCTTGCCGGAATTAAGGTAAGTTTAACCTACTGATGAATACTCTGGAAGGGGAAGCGGCTTGGCGCCGCCTGGTAACTCCCGTCATGCTCCAGACAGAGCGCGTTGCACAACCGCTGGGATCGCCATACCGGCACTGTACGAGTACTCGAGTGCCGGTACCGTACTCGAGTACTCTTGCAAGAGTGGCTATCTGCTACCAAGATGCTCAGACTCTGGCTGCTACGCTATCATACAAGTACAGTACCAATACCAGTAGGATATGGTAACCCTCTCCAACACTTCTGGTAGCAGAACTCAACCCTTCAACCCCTTACCGCCGAGAGTGGCACAAACTCTACATCCGCCTAAGCGAGACACAGATCCAATCGGTCTGCTCCCATGTGATTCCATGCATACGTATTGTACGGTAGGAGTAGACCCATTGGTGTCATCCCCCATTGTGCCTGCCAAGCCTCGAAAACCCAGTTAGCCTACCCCGTAACACAGAGCCAACCGATAAGGGGGTTCGAACCGATCCTTCAGTCGCCAAATTCTGCTTCCATCCTTCCTTGTCCACACCTCATCTATCCCTCATCACCGCCCACGCACAATGGCGAATTCGCCCAACCAAGGACAATCTCGCCATTAACGCCATCCGAAACCTCCCCACTCCCTTCACTTAGGGCCTCGCAGCGATAACCCGTTATTGATCTATCAATCCAAGCGTCATGTCCTTCCTACTTCCTTGGAAGCGTCGCTGTCTGGAGCGCGCACCTCACGATGATTCTCTTCCGCCGTTCCCCGACCGCGTTTTAAACGAGAGTTCGGAACCACCTGTCTTTCAGGTTCCCCGCCGTCCAGTCGCGGCTGTTCTAGCGAAGGAGCCGACGCCTGGTTCCAAGAGCGCTGAGAACGTAGAGAAGGAGTTGCCCGCACCACCTGCGCCGTCGAAGTTCTATGGGGTTGTGCTGCCGGGATGGATAGGGCTGCGAAAGGAGCGGTACTTTGGATTCCCGCGGCGTACAGTAATATTGGCTATGGCGGTATTACTACTGCTATTGGCACTGATACTCGGTTTGAGTATCGGGCTGACTCGCGGGAGAAAGAAAGCGTATGCTTCTCTTCTCGTATCTCGTTTATACGGTCAGTTTGTTAACTTTTTGCAGGAACAAAGACTCGATCACACCTCCAACCTCCGGCGCCCTCCAAAATGGCGACGGAACGTATTACGAGCCCGGCCTTGGAGCCTGTGGCATATCCTCTACCTCGTCCGATAGCATAGTGGCCGTCTCGCACATAATCTTCGACTCGGTCCAGGTGGGTGCAAACCCGAACACCAACCCACTTTGCGGCCGCAAAATCTGGGTTACACGCGAAGCCACACCCGGGAAAAATGTCAGTCTGGAGGTAGAGGTTGTGGATCGTTGCACCGGCTGCAAAGCTTCCGACCTGGACTTTTCATTGAGCGTCTTTGAAAAACTGGCCGATGAATGGCAAGGGAGGGTTCTCATTAGTTGGGCTTGGGTCGTTTGACTTTTTCTTTTCTCTTTCGACATGGCGTTTGGTGCCGGTAGCAATGTGGGGTGTGTGATCCGTGAGAGCCGGTCACAGGGGGGGCTATTCCTAAGTTTTCTTCGCTGGTTTATTTTATTCACTCTATCGTTGTGTTTTTGGTGAGAATTGGTCTTGAAACGATCTTTATATATACCCTTTTGTTTATTTTTTTATCGTCACAATTTCTTGTTTATGAAATTATCTCTTGACAAGAGCTTTGTTTATATTGCCTTTTCACCCCTTTTCACTATTTGGGTGGCCATCCCGATATATGGTCGTTACTGTACCACGGTTCTTAACCATTCTCTGGTGGCGGAGAAACCTGTACTGCCACTTAGGGGTATATTGAAACTGCTGTCAGGTACAGAGCCTAGAGACTTGGGTATTATCATCACATATACTCGGAATGCAAATATATCCTTGAGATCAGGGTGGTGTTGTCGTCTTCCTCGTTCGTTGTTTGCTCAAGACAAGTTCTCTCGCGAAGAATGGGAGGTGGTGTAACGTAGTGGAACGACTCAATCCGTGGGTGAAAATGCGAAGAATCAAGTACCAGTAGCTAACATACCGGCACCCCGTGTCCGTTCCCCGGGGGTTTACCATGGCGGGGTGGTTGGTCACGATACCACGTCAGCCACCATCATAGTGTCGGACTGGCGGAATGGCTGGGACAAGGTCTTTCGGCGCGCATATGAACTCCTGCGCCCGTATAATAGCAGATACGAGGCCAATCGCCCCGGTAGACCATAATACTCCACAAGCCGCGGCTTCCGTCACGATAACGATGACCAGCGCAGGCCCTCGAGATCTTCAAGGCTGAGTAGGAAATGGTTTTTCCGCTTTTATAGCGGTAGCCCTTATAAAACCCACTTTCGGATGATGGTGTGGAGATAACCCGCAGGAAACCTTTTTTGTATTATTATCGTCTTCCACAGTGGGAGATAGTTGTTTGTGATTCCGTCATTTGCTCAGCCTTTTCCTCTCGCTTTTTCCTTTCCCCTCCCGGATTGCTGGGATACTGTACAGTACCCCGCCGTTGCTGCTTAAGCGAGGGATCTGATTGGGTGGGTTGTTGGATTTATTAGATGGGGGTTTTGATATAGTTATACTTTTACTCGGTACGGCAGATTATTAGACCGGGGTGGCCGGCCGCCCCGCTTAAATTTCCTTAGAAAAAGCAAGAAAGTCCGGATCCAAGTTACCGGGGGGGGGGGTTATCGTAGCTGTAAGGTAAGTGTATCGTATATTGGATTGGACGATCAAGAGCAAGTCACTGCGCAAGTGGGATGCGAACGGGAGGGACCTGAACGCCGTGGACAAATGTCTACGCATCCGGTTGCATTGCATTCTATGGTTCAATATAATTTATTTATCCTTGTATCGCCGACCCGGCATCAACATTCTATGGGAACTGTCAACAATCCCGCGCGGGTGCTCGTCCAAGCGATCGAAGCCTTCATAGCTCTTCCACAATCTCTGGCTCTTAGGAATTAGGGATGATTTAGACCACAGCAGACAGCACTCCGGGAGACCTAACGTCATCTTAGCGGTGTATGTACACACCTCTCCGCTCATCCAACTCCGCCGAAAATGCTTGACGAGCTCTGACATACCGCCGGCACCCGGCACTGGTAGTAAGTCCTGGAACAAAATCATTGCATCTCCAAGATCCCCCAAATCCTCTGTTTAGAGTGAGGGATTCATCCTGTCCTTGACACTGCCCGCCCATCATCATTACGCAGCCATCCACCTGTCACATCGCCCAATATCAGCGCTGTCGGTACGATCCCGAGCTCAATCGGATCGGACAAGAAAGACGTTTCTCCCTCCGTGTTCCCCCGTTACCTATGGTGAACAGGATACCTACGAATAAACTACAGGGGGGGCAGGAAGGAAGCAATAGTGGCAACTATCGCGTAGTTAGGTACCAACTCTAGAAGATTTCACGTAGGAACTTTCTGCTGGCCAAATGGGATGGTTCGTGGGCGGTTTTGTCTATTAAGATGGGTTAATGTGGGGAAGGTGGATAGCGCAGCGGCCGGCGGTTGGGTACAAGGGGTTGTTTGGAACTTGTTACTCTGCAGAAATGATGGGGGAGGTATGATATTGTCAACAGCTTCGTTTTCTGCTTCTCCCACACTTCTCTCTAGATGCGATAGTGGTAGAGGTGGGTATATAATTAGAGAGTCCTGGCCCTGCTATTGGTCACCACACCTATCTACGCATGTCTCTGTTCTGCTGAACACTCGTGGTGGCGGGGAAGATAATATGCCTGGGGAATCTTGTCCGTAAGCGACTAAAGCTCTAAAACAACCAATCACACTATGAATGATCCACCGGACTCCCGGAACCTTCAGAATCAGCCATGATCTTCCACGGTCGATTCACGTCCTCTAACACTGTCCTCAGATACTACCCGAGAACTCACTGGTTGAGGGAGAATCCCAAACATCGATAAGTCCTTCCCCGGGCTCTTACGGTAGCCCATCTGGGCTCAGTCTCGCCGGTTTGAAACTTCTGAATCCATCGAGGAGGTGTCGCCTGCACTCAATAGCGCTGTATTTGCTGGTGCAATTGCAAGCTCTGGAAAATGTTTCTCGGTCAAACTTATCTGTGATCGCCCATAGGAAGCCACGGTTATGTCTTGTTATGGACGATGTACGGGAAAGTTTTCTGTAGGGGGAACTGAGGCTTTAGTGACTGGCAATCTCTCTACCACGAGAAGGGAAAAGGTGGCGCTACTTGTATAAGTTCCTGACATCACAAATAACGAACGGCATCCGGAATGGGAGACAGATTTTTACCATTTTCAGATTGCCCGTCCCCGAATCTCCATTCATCCCTGGCCTTGACCACTCCTCTTCCCTTCTGATCTTCCTCTTCTACCTTCCATTCCCCTCCATTCCCCACCCCAACCACATCTCAGATCTGTTATTTCTCAGCAAAAGGGGCAGGGAAAACGAATTGGAAAACAAACGACTGATGAATCGAGTATAGATGGCTGAGTATATGGGAGGGTAGGACCCGACCATGGGTGAAAATCAACCAACAAAGGAAAATAGGCTCCCCTTATGCTTCCCGGATCATACAGATCTTTCCCGCATACCCTCAGTATATGCCAGACCCTCCATCGCATTACACCATTTGGGGGCTGTCATTGCGGTGTCTTTGCCTCTGATTTCCTGCCGTGGGTGGGAGTATGTGACTGATGGTATCATATGGTTTGGCAGAATACGCATCTTGGTAGTAGGGTTGTTGTGGCCCTCTGGAAAGGAGCGGATATGCCGTGAGCAACCAGGATCCCCGTCCAACATACTCTACACACGCCTACTTCACTGCATCAGATTCTTTGGTTAGCTCAATAGCCCGGGAACAAATGAGAGTAGGCCCGCCCTACTCATCCCTTCTCTCGGTCGAGGAATATCTGGCTAATAGCAGACATCTTCGGTGTCTATGTCCTGAACCGTACTGCACCGCTAGCCGGGTCCGCGCTTTTTCGTAGGTGTCGACTAAATGTGGCCTTTTTTGCTCATTCCAGTGCTTTGAGTGAGGATTTACCTTTCTTGCTTCTAGGGTAGTTGAATTTTTGGAGGGCGGCAGGGGTCCGCTGGGAGTAGAACGGAAGAAGGAAAGAAGCGCAGTATTGGGTCGTCAATATAATACAGGGAGCTTATTAGGCGATCCTGGCCCATTTGTGGTTCCTTCAATGACATTACTGTTTTGACATACAGGAGTCACGATCCTTACCTGGGGGTAAAAGTTCCCACTTAGCGAATTGATGTGGTTGAGAACACAGGGTCCAATAGACACAGGTATTACCGAAAGCCAGAGCGGGGGAAGGGCAATTTTCCACCCCCGGCGGAGCAAGATATTCTCTAGGGGATACCAGAACGTTGCGTCTTGTGGAAGTAACTGCGGACAAGCAAAGGAAATCGTAAGCGATTTCTCGGTGGTAGCATTGGTAAGTACGTATGATACAGTACCGACCGTTAGATCAACTCTTCAACAAGTACGATCTTGGCAAAACTGGCACCGACCGGGGGAGGCCCGTGTCGTGCGGGTACAGTACACCAACACCGGTAGCAACCGCAACCACATAGAACAAAACAGGGTAGATGGTAACTGAGAGATAGTGGAGTTTAATTTACATGCCCCCCACCTAGTTTGTATCCCAATGTGCTCTCTCTGTTCCGTGGCTCTCCCTAGCATGCTAGCTGTATGTGATTCTAGTCTGAGAGCTGTAGACTGCTCTTTTCCTTAATTGCTTCTTTAGGTCAATCATCTTTAGTAGAACCAACCAGCGATCACTGCCTCTCACTCGTTCCATTTTCCTACCCACGCTTGCGTTCAGTGACCCAGTGTTTCGAGGAGACCAGGACCCTGTGGAGGCAGCAGGGGAATCGTCGAGAGAATTAGACTGGATGGGGTGGCTGAGTGTCATCCTCTGTAGGCCAAGTTTCCTGGTGTACTGCACAGTTTCGCCATGACTACGGGGTGTACTGTACTTGCGGAGTCTTGACAGCACCGGGTACTATGGGAGATTGTGGTTCAATAAGATATATTCAGCTAAAATAGGGCACTACTGAGCCGGTATGCGTCCTAAACGGTGTTGCAGCAAAGAAAGCCGATCAAACCACCCCACATATCCCGGAATACTCTTGAAGTACCACCCAGACACCCCCTCACAAAAAGACAAACATTACAGCTTTGTGCTGGATCCAACCTCACAGTTGATGAGAGACCTCAGCGGGGGCGAGTAGGGAGGCCGTAGGGGGGGGGGGGAGAAAGCCCATAAGCGGTGATACTGGACTATGGAGTTCGTGTAGAGCCGTCGGGGGGCGGCAGACAATCGGATGAGTGATATAGTGTGATTAGCCTTATGTGTTGGACTGTCGGATTAGCGGATTGATTGAGATTAGGGAGGGAGGTACAGGGAGGTCGGACACGCCACGGAGGATCTGGTGTACTACGTATTCTATGTCCCTACCCGATCACGTTCTTTCTATGCTCAGGGGATATGGAGTAGAAGAAATCAAACTGTGAAAATGTCTCATGAGGCGGAAGGCCATA